CATTAGAATCTTAAATAGAACTTTGAAGAATGGAGTTATGTGCAGTTATTATATATTATGTCACTTCTAATAAAAAATATAACTTTTCCTATTAAACATCTATGAACATAATCAGAAGTGAATCTGCAAAGATGATTTAAAAATTTTTTATATACTGCTCATCAGAGCATAATGACTCCAAATTCTTCAGACTTTTAGTATAGAATAACTAATTAGTATTTTCTCATAGATGGTAAGAGGTTCCTGTAAATTATGGCTAAGAAGAATGTTTGAATGGAATCCTGAAATGGAAGCCAAACTACTGAGAGTAGAACTCTTTTTGTTCCTTGAAAAATCATAAGTAAATATATGTTCGCTGGTTATAAAAACATTACTATATTTTATACATACCAAGAGGCCACCCATTGTAAGATATAACATTATTCTACATAGTGCTATGATGTAGATAGTGGTGCCAATTAAACTGCAACTCACATTTGACTTCAGAGATGCTGAAATGTGAAAAAAATGTACATTTTGGAATTGGTACAATCTGGTAATATTTTCCAGCTTATGCAACTATTTATATAAAACATTTCAGAGCATGGTAGAAATCAGTTATTGGGTAAATCTTATGGTGAAGCATAACTGGAGATGGGCAAATGTAACTTCTAGTCACAACATATGTTATGCAGACACAAAGCTGGTACTTTTTATCCTCTTCTCTTGAGCCCCTCTCCTCTTTCATCTTCCTCCAAGATGCAAGTCTCTTTAACACATTTCTATGTCACTGGGTGGCTGGGAGAGTGAAAAAATACTACTGCTTCATCACAATTGTCTTTAAATGTTGCATTATAAAAGGATATAATTTACTTAAAACAATTATTGCTCAAAATGTTCACGGCTGTTGAAACTAGGATTTTTTTAGTTTATTAAATACTTGAATTTGACTTTTCATCCTTTATATTTCTAAAAACAAGAAATATTGTACATAACTACAAATAATAAAGACAAAAATTACTTCTTTCTTTTCAAGGGAAGGTGTTTTGTGTAAGACTCTGATGTTGCTTTGTCTGCTCACCAGTGTTCAGAACATTCATAGGATTTACAGCTTTGGGCAACAACCCATTTGGCCCATTTTGCTCATGAGAACAATGTAGCCTTGCCATCTTGCTGGTATTTCAATAGCACTCATGCTATTTGTCTTTAAATTGTACACAAGGCAATTCTGATGACCAGAAGATAGGAATTTCAGCAGAATAGGAGCATCTTAATTTTTTAAAAATTGTGTTGTGTAAATCTTATTACTTAAGGCTATCAGCAAATATGCTTTTAAGTTATTTATAATATTAGAAGTTTAGCTATTGCTAATGCCAATCCTCTCTTCCTTATATTTAGATATCAGAAAAAAATTTTTTCCTCCTTTTCACTCATATTTTGTTTTACCCATGGTCTTTTTATAACTTTTGTCAAACAGAAAAATGTTCAAAGTTTCTTTCATATATTGTTTATGTGTGTGTATAGTAGATCCATGAATATCCAAAATTAAATTATTTTGAGGTATTTGAAACTTTTGTTTTTATGATAACTTTGCTCTTATTGAAAGTCAGTAGGGTGCATCACCTGGGCACATATATGATGGGGTTTCTGAAGAATGCCTTCCATCATAAAGAAAGTCAAATCTTTCCTTCATGGTGTTCCACATGTACAGCACAGCAGTTTTTGGTAATGGAACTCAAAGAATTCTGCTGATTCTAAACATGAGAATGATCTCTGTGAAATGGAAACAAATTCAAATTTGCCAGATGGCTTAAATATCTAGCTTTAATAATTTCCTCAACAATTTGAATATTAGGAATCCTTTGGAAATAATTCCAGTTTAAAATTTACACCCTGGCTTCCTTCTTTCATGCATTTCCAAAACAAAATTCTCATTTAAAAAAGCACATGTTTTGGGATTAAATAACCAATGAAAATATAGACTACTGCCAGGGATTTACTCAGTGGCACCACACCTGCCTCACAAGTGCAAGGTCCTGAGTTCGATCCCTGGTACCTGCCCCCCCCGCAAAGTAAATAAAGAAAATATAGACTACTTAAGAGTATTTGCCCCTTTTCTGCCATGAATACTCTCTGACCCTCAGATGAATACAGGACTGAGAAGCTGTAGTGATAGAAACAGCAGTGGAAGGCATCTTCTTCCACAAAAGTCATTCTCCACAGAGAATTCACTGAGGGGTTCACAATGAGTTGATTAACCAAGAAATCAACCAGGCTCCATTGCTATGACAGTATAAACTGGCTAAAATTATGTATTTATTACTGTTCATCAAAATTTGTATAATCTTTTAAATCACATTAAAATACATAAGTATTATGTATTTGATCAATGTTAATCTCACATGGTCTATTTTGAAAAGTGGAAAGCCAATTAGGAGTGTCATCTTATTTTGCAGTAAATATATATCAAAGGCTATGTGATGTTTTTCCATCTTAGATTTTATTTGTACCATTTCAACTTCTAAGTTCTACTACTACTTAGTTTATTGCACAGGTTTACATATTATTTTAAATTGTAAATGAAGAGTTAGAAAGAAGGTATTAAAGTATTATTTCATAGTAACTTCTTTTCTTTTTGGGGAGTTTCATATATGTAGAGGAAGTATCTTGAAAGAAGAAAAAAAGTTATGTCTTGGAGACCTGGGAATCTATGCTCAAGGTGCTAAAATTTTGGGAATTTGGGTTATTTTCAAGTTAAGGCAGCCTGCTCTCAGAAGAGCATTAGTTCAGCTTATTCTGAAGAAAGGACCAGATGTGATTTTTTTAACTAGCATTTTAAACTAGATTTTTAAAAACTAGCATTAACAGCCTTTAGAGAGAAGCATAGTTGTGAAATCATTTTTGAAATTAAACCAAATACTCCATTTACAGATATGCAGGAAGTGATGTCATTTCTGATTCTGAGATTTAAAGAAACATGTAGTTTCTTTTATTGAGCTTCACTGAGGCTGCTGTTTAAACATCTGCTACATTTTCCCTTTCATCTGAGTGTTGGTCCCACATATGGGGTTCACACCCCAGTTTTAGACTGTCCAACATCCTAGTGAGTGGACTGCTGTCTCAAAACCTTCAATAGCAACTGCTTGACTGTATTTCCCAAATTTGCTTCTCTGGGGAACAGGTCATAATACTCACAAAACATACCTAATATAAATTAAATTTTGTTTTGCAAAAGTTTTGGCACAAGGTTGATAGACATACTTGAAAGAATGTGAAAGACATGATGTCACCACATCTAGAAATAACAATTTACTGTTTTTTCTTAATTTTACAGATCTTATGATAATTCAAAATCATTCCTATGTCACCATCAAAAGAATGAATACTTTCACCGGACTTTCTATGGGTCTGATCCGATTCTTAGCACTTTATGTAGACTAATGTGCAGAAACTTCAAAATAGTCATATAGATAGAGCCATAATACCCCCAGTGTTACAGGCAAAAGAAAAGGAGACTCTTAGAGGTTAAAGACTTGCCCAGGATTACAGAGCCAATGAATAGTCAATGATGCTGGGTAGAGAGAAGAGAACTCAAAGTGTACGCCCTTCTTTAGGGTAGACAATGGCAGATGCATGAAAGAGCACATGGCAATCCCTTCCTGAAGTACCATTTAAATCACTCCGCTTATACAAAAACTTGCCTGCTTAGAACAACTACAGGAAAGAACTTCAACTGTTAAGTAACAGCAAATGATAGCTCAATCTTCATTTTGTTTGCCAGCAACACATCAGGACTTCATAAATATGGCTGGTAATGGACAAGGAACTCAAATAATTTGAAATTTGATTGTTCTATTTTTTCGCTTGATTTAAACCACTGGAGAAAATATCATATTACTAAGATAATTGTTACAAGGGTTTGGATTTAACCCAAATCTTCCTAAAAGATTACATCTTATCAGAACCCACGATAATTCTTCAACCAGTCCCATAGTAACATAGTCATAATCCTCCTAATTCTGATGCTGTTCACCCATTCCCATGGAGAATCAAATTTCCCATGGATTTGCTCTTGTCCTACTTAGGTATTAGGATGGATCTCTTAACAATATTTCAGATGAAAACTTAAAATATATATGTAGTACTGGGAAAATTTGAAATGAATTAAGAATATACTTTAATATTGTAAGATCAAAATTTAAAACAAAAATGATTGAAAAAACATTGTCTTACACTTGAATAGTTTATGTGTCTTATGGATGCATCTTGAATAGAATTAAGATGCTCCCAAAGTACCACTTGTTCTTTCACAGAAGAAATCTGATACATCTCTATAACTCCTGCAGAAAGAACATCATCTCTAAGGATTATAGTCAACAATCATTTCATTCATTATTTTTCAAAGCAGTAAAGTTTATACTTCAACAGGCTATAAATTTTCCTACTTCAGATTCTTTATTAAGTTACTTCTTATTGATCCTGAAACTGTAGTACAGTTCCAGAACAGGATACTAGACAAACTATTCTGTTGATAAACAATATACTCTCTTTCTGTTATCATTTTATTATTGTCACTGAAATACAGATAGAAAAAGTTAAATATTTCAGAGGACCTAGGATAAAGATAAACAGGAAAAATGAAATCTTTTCTTGTGGAATCTCAATTTTCCTAGAATTCCTTGGCATTTTGTGCACTTGCATGCAGAGCTATGTGAACAGAATTGCTCTTATTTCATGCTTCAGGCACTCCAGCCTTCTTTGGGTAACCGAAAAAACAGATCATACATATGTCAATACACAGAGGGTAAGGTCCCAAGCAGTGGCCACAGGTAACATTGACTAGGATAGTACAGAGATGAGAGGCTGGGCCTCACAGGTTTGGTAACTATGGTGAGCCTGGGAGGCCAGGGTAGGGGAGGACAATGAGGCATCATGCGACTGGACCCACATAAACATGAAGTACATCAGACCTCAGGAACATTCATTTCCAAGCTGTTAGTTTACCAAGGAAGGAGACTTACCCGGGCCTTCTGCTCCATTTCTAGCATTAATCTTTCATGTTGCTCAGCTATGGCCAGTGTCGCAGAATGGACCTTCTGATAGATCATTTCTCCTTCCCTTGTTTGAAAAGTGAATAGTCCTTCTCCTGTGTCACACATTCTGTGAGAATAGAGATAGGGAAAGAGATGGGTCTTCATGTGTTCAAGGGCATAACAGCTTTTCATGTAAAAGATGCCCTCACCCCTTGTGTTAGTCCCTCCTTGCCTTTGGAGAAGTTAGTGAAGCAGATTCATCCTTGACCAAACCAACCAATGAATGCATCCTTAAATAGTACAGGAAAATGGAACTCAAAAGGATGAAAATTCATGCATATTTGGAATGATAAAGAGGAAGCATTCACCACAATATAAAGGAACCGGTAAGTGTTATTTAGATTACTGCATTGCATTTCTTACCATTAAGGGAATATAAACCAGTAGTAGTTTTCTTGAAGGATTTTCATATTTCTCCTATAAAAGCACTACCACTGAGGAGTTGAAAACTTTTGAAATATAAAGAATTTAAGAAAGGTCTGCAATATTATGTTCAGTGGAACCCAGAAAGAGACTATACATCTTTTATATAATTTTAGTTTCATATGATTTTTAATTTATGGATTTGCATACATAGATTGAATCTTTTATTTAACCAAATAATTCTTAAGCAAGTCTTGGTGTAGTAGAGGGAACTGCATGGTGCAAAAGAGTCCCTATTTGGATATGAGGACATTTGGCTTGAATATTTTCTCTGAAAATTACCAGCAGTGTGAATTTGAGCAATTTGTTCAAACTACCTATACTTCCTTTCCATTTATCTAAAATACAAATAATAGGACCATTTCAATGTCTTCATGAAGGTTAAGAGTTGATAAAAAAATATTTACAGTGTTTTTACAGTTAGCACATATTAAGTGTTCAAAAATATTCTCTATTACTATTTTCATTATAAAGTTTGGTGCTAAACAATATAAGTGTGGAAATAATTAAGTATCTATCACAGAGAAATGGATGGATTAATTATATTTTTATTTGCTGTTATGATACAGGATATTATGTTGTTATGATGTCATCTTAGAACAGGATTATCATGCAGCGATTTCTGCGTCATTTCTGAGAACATGCATTTTACTGGAAAAAGCTCATTGACAAGTGTTAGTAGGGTTACAGATAAGTTTCATTAACAAAGACTAATTCTAAAATAAAAACCATTTTAAATTGATGCTTTAAGTCAGTTTTTAGACATAATTGAAGGCCTTTGGAAAGACCCTCCCAATATCAATATGATATTAATGCTTAGATATTGGATACTAAGTGCACTACTACTGTTTTGTTGTTTTTCAGGTGATAATTGTCAAAGGATTAGCAGATTACATCAAAATATTCAAGAGGCCAAACTATTTCTTCAAGCACCAAAAAGATTTTGTATTCTTCTCTATGGTTCTCAAAGGAGTTTTCAGTGGAAAAGAAATGCCTCAGGAGGCTTTCCGACATTATGGCGGCTGTGACTGCATCCCTTAGGGCCCCATCAAGCCAGCACTTAGCTTCTGTGAAAACCATCTTAATAAAATTCACCCAGCATGAAATGGAAAGTCTGGGGGAAAATGGAGAATTTTTGCAAAGTGAAACGAGTGAGCTTTCTTTGTTGATTCAGGGGAGTAAGAAAATCCAACAGCAACGGCAAAACCATTGATAAGTCATGAGTGCATCTTGGATGAAGCTGAATTTTGTTCATTGTCATCTGAAAAACACTGCTCAGTAGCCTTTGGGAAATGAGATAATGAGGACACAAATTGTTATTTCATACTCAGTCACTGAGATGTTAAGTTCTAAATTTTGCCCACTTCTTGGGATTTAACTCTACCCAATGGGGGAGTCTAAATGCTTAGAGATTTTTTTCTCTCACTCTTTCAAATAACTACTGTAAGCTTCAACCTTTTATCAAGAAAACAAAGTACTTAAAATATTAGCATAAAAAACAAACTTTAAGAAGAAGGTGCTGTTTTATCAACATTCTATTTAGCCAAGCTGAAGGTTAATTCCTCAGCATGATTGGCTCCATTTATGACATGTGTTAGTACTGTTAAAATAAATAGTTCAGATTTCCTTGGTTCTTGCTTAAAATATGTTCATCGGGGGCTGGCAGAGAAAAGAGACTTTTCTTATCTGTCTGAACAGTTTTGTGATAGCAGGGTAATATTAGAGGAGATGATAAGAAATAAGATGGAATAATTTATATGGCTTTTGACTTGCTCCTCTAGTAGAATCCAACAGGAGTTCTGGCTAATTGGAAGTTTATTTAGACACCTGAATTGGAGTCTGCATGTTAGCAAAATCTCCAAGGAGTTCATATGCACATAAAGACATAATGTGATTCAAAGGAGGACAAATCAGAAACCATATCTGTCCAACATTTTAAAGAATGTGATATATGAAACTGAAGGTAAAAAGGAAGAAGCAGAACAAAAAAATGGTACAAAAACCCCCTGAAGTAATCATTCCTTGACTTGGGAAGAGCTAAATTAGAGGTGCTGGTTACACTTGTATATTCTATTTCTATACTGTACAAATGTAATTACATTTGTAATTCCCTAGCCACCAGAATAGCATACAATGATTGCATTATTTTGCAAAAAAATGAAAATATGGATATCTTGACTTTAGAATTCTACATAAAGACAACAGCAAATATTATCTCTTTTTATGTTTAACAAAACGTTGGTACAAAGTTAGTTTCTTATGTAAAATAAATGTTTAAGAATGTAATCTTAGGCTGCACTCTGTTCAGAGGCAGCCAGGTAGACTGTCCCTTCTCTTTAATAAAAGGCTTCTCGTGGTACTGGCCTGGTCTTGGTTTTCGGGGGAAAAAAAAAAAAAGAATGTAATCTTAAAGGTTCCTTTCAGTTCTGCAGAATAGCTTGGGATCTCATAAAAACTCTAAAAGGTAAGTAAGACAGGTACACTTGTGTTCAGGATTTTTGTTTGTGTTTTCTGTTTTATTTTGGATACAGTGATGTAAGAGAAAATATAGCAGCATTGGGTTCAAAAACTAGGATTCAAATTTATACCAGTGAGTCATGGCCTGCCATATAAATTTATCACATCTTTTTAAAGTAGATACTATCTTGGGCCTAAGGATAACAAGAAGGGAAAAATATCCATGACCCATTACCTCTGAGACTTTTCAAGTAATGAGGGAAGAAAACCATTGGTTAAAGCATCACCTACTTACTCTGGTCTGTGCCACCTAGCACAGACCACCTATGGAGTGCTGTGGAAGGTAATATGGACTGACCTGAACAAGGAATTTACCTATTAACTCCTCATCTGCACAGATATTTTTACTTAAATCAAATTAAGTCGCATGTATGTGATACTTGGTACATTATTGCAATAAATTCAGGCTTCTCACTGCTTGAAGGCCAACCCTTGGGTGAGCTGGTGAGAAGGAATTGGGTTTACTCAAGGGCTGTAAACTTGGAAGATGGAGCAGCTTGACCTGAAATCTCCATCTTGGCAGTGTTTGGGGTGCAAAGAGCTGCAATAGCAAGGAAACGAGGAGCAGGTTAGGAAGGCTACTTGCTGATCAGGGTCTTTGTCACCTAGGATATTTGTCTCCTTTTTATTCCTCTCTGGAACATCACAATGAACCTCAGTTTTAAGGCTCCTCATGTTCTTTTTAGATAGACATATTCACAGAACTATAGGTTAAGATGGGCATGATAGAGGGCACCATGTGTTCTGAATTCTATGAACGAAAGATTTGGCAGTTAACTGTATTAACTTTTAGGTGGGGCTTTTCTTTAGAATTTAGAATGCCAAGTGAAAGGAAGGGGCAAGAACCTCATGGAAGGACAAAGGGAGAGAGAAGTGAAGAACAAGTCCAAAGAAGCTGCCACAGTAAAGGGAGGAAATGAACGATTTAGCAGGCCTGGTTTGCCCAAACACTGCACGTTCCACAGGAAGGCCTACTCTCAGGATAGTCCTCACTGGTTTCTGGGATATAGCATCAGAGCTTTTGGAATATTCTGCATGTTTCTGTATGCCTGAGGTCTTTTTGGGCCATGCTGTAACAGTTTGACTGGATAGGTTGATCTCAACAGTGTGACTTAGGGTGGTTGCCTGTTTTTATGCCGATGGAGGCTGAGATGGGTCCTGTGGGTGCTGCCTGCCTACATAAATGACTGCAATAAAGCCTGGACTCCCAGGTTCTGGAGAGCCTCACTGGCTGACAGTTCATAACATGCACTATCACACATAATCGCTGGAAGAATTAAGAGTGTTCCCATACAATGCACTGAAGGGCCCTGAAAGCTCAAGTCTGGTGTCTCTTGGTCTTTCTCTTCTTCATTTTAATCTATATATCTCATGGTAGTCTGCCATATTGTGATTTTAAAAACTTTTTCTGAGTCTTGTGAGTCTTTTAGAAAAATCATAAAAGCTGCAGGTGGTCTTCAAACCCTTCGTTCAAGACAGTAACATATGCTAGGTTGCCAATGTATTTTGGTTCAAGAACCTAAAAATTTGAATCATTTCCCTAAATGGCTACTTTTTCGATTCCATATCTCTAGGTAATCTGCAAGAATACCCCATTGTCTTTATTCCACTTTACTACTCACTGGCAGAATCAATCATTTGAAATAGTAACACTGTCTGTTTTGTTTTTGTAATGTTCTAATAAATAAGGAATAATGTGAGATTATGTGGATAAATGGATTTGTAGGAACTTGAACTCCAAATATAGTGTTTCACTATTCATGGATTTTACACTTGCTTTTCAGGGAAAAATAGCCAAAATATATAGATCCCTGGAGGGAAATTTACTGGAGAACAAGCCCATATTAGGTACTAATAGACCCCTGCCATTCTTTTCCTTTTCTCAAGTGTCCAATTTAGTCCTGTGTGATGTGATGACTCTGAAATGCCAGTCTTTCCTCCAAGTGACAAATGAAAGAAATTTATCAAGTCAAAAATAATGGAGACACTTTAAGTTTAGAAAATAAAAGTGGATACTTTAACATAATTCTCTGTGAGTCTCTAGATAGTTTTACTACAGATGAATCGGTCAACCTCTGGCATTTTGTCTGTCTTTGTAGCTGTACACTTTCTTTGTCACTGTCAGTT